TATATATATAGTTAAAAAGAAGGAGGAGGAAAAAAAGAAAGAAAGGAAGGAAGAAAAAAGAAGAAACTCAACAACATAGAAGAAAACTTCAGCAAGGAAGCTGAGTTTTGGGGAGAAAAAAAACCCACAAGTAATTAAAGTGCAAAATCCAAGAAATCAAATTGAAAAACACAGTAGAAATCTTCAATAAACTCACCCATGCCAAAAAAAAAGTTATCAGGACAAAGTTTACAAAACATAAATAAGAGAAAAAAATGAACAAGAATAACAATGATTAAGAACTTTAGGACACAATCAAGAATTCCTTGGATAGAAAAAAAAGGAATGAGATAAACACTAAAGGCATAGATTATTAAAAAAAAAAAAAAAACAGAAATTGTCCCAAATCTAGAGAAAGAGACAGATTCAAACAGCACAGGCACTAAAAATTCAAAACAGACATGACCAGAGAAGAACTCTAGGACATTTTACAGTCAGTTAGCAAATGCAAAGCAAAGAAACAATATTAAAAGCTATAAGGGAAAAATACAAACTCACCTACAAAGACAGGAACATCAGACTAACATCATACCTCTCCAAGCAACCCTACAAGCCAAGAGAGCATGGATGATATATTTCAATCCCTGAAAGTAAAGAATTGCTGGTTGGTATATCTAGAAGAGCTGGTTTAATATTGCCAGAGAAATAAGTACATATCAAGACAAACACAAACCAAAGCCAATCTTGAAACAAACCTGATCTTTAAGCCAAAACCACAGAGGAGATTTAAAAGGAATGTTATGTATAGAGGAGGAAGAAACCACAGGAAAGAATAAACTTCATTGGAGGAGCAGATAAACAAGGGAAAGCCAACAGTAACCAGTTAGACTAACAACTAACAAAAGTGGTAGTTAGGAATTAATAAACATCTCCTAATAATAACCTTAAATGGAAATGGCTTCAAGTAACATAATAAAGAAATACAGAATGGATGATCAGATTACAAAAATATATACCCAAACTTCTCTTGTCTCTAAAAAACACACCTCACTGGTAAAGGTACCTACAGGCTGAGAATCAAAGAGCTAAAGGCAATTTGACATGCAAATAGAAACCAAAAGCTAGTATAGCTATTCTGATAGAAGATAAAGCAGACTTCATATCAAAATTAGAAGAAACAAGCTCATTACACATTAATAAGGGGAATTATTAACCAAGAAGATATTACAAGTATAAATATATATCACCAAATATGGGGGCTCCTAATTTCATAAAACAAAAGTCATAGATGATGATACAATGTTGGATGATTTCAATACCCCACTCCATCCCTAGATAGGACATCTAAGCTGAATATCAGCAAAGAAACCTCAGAGTTAAAGTACACCACAGGTCAAATAAACTTAAAAGATAATACAGAATAGTCCATGCAACAGATACAGAATATACACTATTCTTAGAAGTCCATGAGATCTTCTCTTAAAAGACCACATTGTAGCCAGGCGGTGGTGTTACATGCCTTTAATTCCAGCACTCAGGAAGCAGAGTCAGGCAGATCTCTGTGAGTTCGAGGCCAGCTTGGTCTACAGAGCGAGATCCAGGACAGGCACCAAAACTACACAGAGAAACCCTGCCTCGAAAAACAAACACACACATTGGAGGTTACAAATACTAAAGCATTGAAATAAATTGTTTCTTATTAAAAAAAAAAAAAACAAAAAACTACAAACCCCACACAAATACATGGAAATTCCTCTCTCATCTTTCTTTTTTTCCCTCTCTCCCTCCTTCCCTCTCCCTATCTCTTCTTCCCTGCCTCCACACTGACCATCAAGTGTCAAGTTCATTATGCAGCCTTGCAATTCTGACTTTGCTCCCACTCCACCTCTGAGTGCTAAAATTACAGGTGTATACCACAACACCTGGATTATACACTGCTGAAAACCACACCCAGAGTTCTGTGCATGCTAGGCAAGCCCTCTACCAACTGAGCCACATCCCCAGCCCTAAACAACACACTCTTGAATGACCAATTGGCTAGTTTAAAAAAAAATCAAGAAGACAATTTTAAAGCTTCTAAAATCATTTGGAAAT